GCCTTCTGGCAACCGGCGATTGTGTGCGAATGGTGGACGATTGGTCACGGCAATCTGTATATTTGTACAACGTTGTTCTCGCACATTCGCCCTCCCTTTCCCGCCGCAGGTTGCGCACAACGACTGCAGCAGTAGTCAATCAGTCAGGGTCCGATTAGACTAATCATGTACCAGTTACAGAACGGGACGAAACGTAAAATCCGCCTATCGTTACTAGTTCATGGGAGGGGGAGAAGCTAGGCAACGGCCGAATTCGAAAGCATGAATTCTGAAAGCAACAGAAACACCTGATAATCCCTACTGAGGAGCAAAATAAACAAGTAGTAGTTAAAACAGACCCCGCAAATAAAATACGAATAATGAATTACCTCATTTCTCATTAAAAGCGCTCGTAGTAAAGGAATAAGCATTTACCCTTTCATGACTGAGGACCATTTGTGTCACTCTTTTTTTATGAAGCTTATGCTGCACCGCTGATATCCGTTTCTGTGCTATAAGCCTGAACTGCATTATTTTATTATTCTTAAAGCTGATCTACAGCAATACTTAAACGTGTAGTCTCTTGTTTCCTTTCTACAGAATGGTGCTCAAGACCCAATTCTGTCTTCCAGAGAAAACTCCACGATTTCATGCACTGATTTTAAGTTAAAGTGTACAATTATTTATAAGTTTTTTTAAAATTTACATAACACCTTATTAAGCTACCATCCATAAAGTACTGATTTAAATAATTTAACATGGAATCAAAAACAGAGCAGTCGCTATGATCCGAAACCAAGGTTCACATCAATATATTATCTCAAGGTGGCAAACGAGGTGTGTGATTAGCCGCACATTGTGCGGTTATTCCAACTGTTTGAATGATCAGCTAAGCATGACACCGGCATAGTGATGGCCTCTGAATAGGTGGAGTTATTGGTATTAGAATGATGACAACGAGGTGGGCTAGACCAAACTACAATCGCAGGGTTAGTGGTCTCGATAAATGAAGTATCCGCCGTTTATTAGCGCATGCTTACACAATTTATCTTTCATATACGTTGAAAATACACAAAAGATATTGGCTTGGTTATAAACTTCAGTCTCTGAGCATCTCATGTAAAGGCCTAAACATCTCAGTCGTCATCCGGAATACCAGCACTGAAGTTGAAAGAAGAACATAAAAGCAGATTTGCGTTTGAAGGGGGACATTTGGAACATATCCTCACTCAGAGGAAAAGAATATGAATTAGTTGATGAGGCCACGAAGTACCAACTCGAC